CGTGAGCCATGCGGAAGCGCTGCCACAGCGACTTGTGCAAGGAGGTCTGCAGATGAGCCCGGAGGACGCAGTGGGCGAGAGAGGAGGAGTTAGCATAGCGATAGGTTAGAGGCAGCCATAGCTGCCATAGCTGTAGTTAGTGGTGAGTGTGTGCGGGTGCCCGAGTGTTAGAGTGATGCGTGTGGGATATCCAGGGTGATCCAGTGTACGTGAACAGTGAGATGTTTGGGCGCTGAAGTCGCCATAGCCAATTAAGAGCGAACTCGTGTCTGAAAGCCATATCTCCGAGTTTTGAGTGGGCGCATGTCGCCAGTATGCTGCGTTGCTGTTTACATGCATGAAAAGTGTGTTTGAGAACGAGTCTGATTGCACCTTGGTGTGATTCACTTATTTTCTTTTTATCTTCAGTTCCGTGAGGAATTCTGATGTGACCCTCAGGCAAAAGTTGTTTGCATTGCAATTCTCTACAAAACATATTCTTTTCCCATATTTTTTTTGGAGTTTTTTTGTTTTTTTGTTTGTTTGTTTGTTTGTTTTTGGTGTTGGGGCAGCCCGGGAACCTGCCCGGGGGTCAAGCCCGGCCACCCGGGCGTGTTTCCGGGCACAACTTGGCCTCCCGGGCGCCCGGGAAAACGGCCTAGCTTTGTGCTTGTGAGACAAACAAAGAGAGTAGCAGACAGCATGACGCACTCTGAAACACTTCTTTCGCCTTTTCCTGCACGGTCCTTTCCTTTTCACTTTTTTCCTTTTGCTGCACAGCTCTTTCTATTCTTTCCTTTGGCTGTTTTCACGGTTGCTCGTTTATTATTCTTTTTGCAACCGTTTACTGTGCCCCTCACTCGCAAGGCTCGCTACACTGGCTTTTTGCACGGTTTCTCTTTTATTTCTTCTTTCCGCTCCCGCTTCATTGTGCCTCTCATGCACACAGTTCACCACATTGATGTACTCGAGCTCTTGCACCAGATGACTGTGCGCCCCGCTCCCCCCTCCATCCCCCTTCCCCATCCCACCCTTGCCCCTTCCCAGAAATCCTTGCCACACCACGTTCATCCCCCACTTCGATCTTTACAGTCGTTTCAGGACAGAGTTACCAAGTTGGAACAGAGATAGGATGAGATCACTTTCCTGACTAAGGGTTTAATTAGATCCCCTCTCATGGCATTCAAGAAACGTGTGTCATAGTCATCATAACATTTCTCTCTCTCTCTCTCTCTCTCTCTCTCTCTCTCTCTCTCTCTCTCTCTCTCTCTCTCTCTCT